CATGGCCGGTTGTATCGCGCCACAATTAAGCTCTCAATCCTTCGCGAAGACGACCACCTCCTACGCGCCACGCCACTTCAGCCCTAGAATGTCGCACCAGCCACCAAAATCGAGTACCAGCTTCTTCAATTCCGCAACAAAGCTACTTTGGGGACCATCTCTACCTCCGGGTCTACTTATCACCACCGCTCGAACGGCATGGACCACCGTATGGCAGCTCATGATGACCCAACTCGCTCCATCAGATTCATCCGGGTCATACACCCGACCCACTTCCAAATTTCGCCTCGACCCGACCCAATTCCCTTCCGCCGCTTCTTCGGAGATCCATCTCTACGTGGGTCTTCCCTGCCCTTGGGCTCACCGGACTCTAATCGTACGAGCTCTCAAGGGTTTAGACGACGCCGTTCCGGTCTCAATCGCATCTCCAGGTCAAGATGGGTCATGGGAATTCAAGGATAAGAATATCCCAGGAATGGATAAGGATAAACTTATCCCGAGTTTGGATAAGGCAAATCGGTGCCGGAATCTGAAGGAAGTGTATAAGTCGAGAAGCGGAGGTTACGACGGGAGATGTACGGTTCCGATGTTGTGGGATTCGAGGAAGAAAGATGTTGTTTGTAACGAAAGCTACGATATTATCGAGTTCTTCAATTCCGGTCTAAACGAATTGGCTCGAAACGCTAATCTCGATCTCTCGCCGCCTGATTTGAAAGGAAAGATCGAAGATTGGAATCAGATTGTGTATCCTAAAGTTAACAATGGCGTTTACAGGTAACGAGAACATCACAAAGCTATAGAAATCGATCACATTTCGTATCATTTGTGGTTTTCTTGATACATAAGGAATGATAATGTATGGTTTGCTTATAGCACAATGTGTGTTTGTTGCTTAAGTTTATTGCTTTTTTGTTGTTGATGATTTGCTTGCATTGTTGTTTTGAAAGGTGCGGATTTGCGCAGAGCCAAGAAGCGTATGATCGAGCAGTGAGTGAAATCTTTAGTACCTTAGATGAGATTGAGGATCACTTAGGTGGTAACAGATACTTGTGTGGAGAAAGGTTGACGTTGGCGGATGTATGTCTGTTCACAACTTTGATTCGTTTCGATCTTGTTTACAACATTCTATTCAAATGTACGAAGAAGAAGCTCGTTGAGTACCCTAATCTCTATGGCTATTTACGCGATATATATCAGGTATGTCCCCAAAATCGCTTAACTGCTTTTTTTTACTGGTTTCTCTCTAGCACTCCTGAAAATGTGTTTGGAAATGTGTTTCATGTTGTGCATTTGTTGTTGTTGAAACAGATTCCAGGTGTTGCGGCTACTTGTGATCTTCCCGCTATAATGGATGGGTACTACAAAACGCTGTTTCCACTAAACGCAAGTGGAATTCAACCAGCCAGTTCTGCTTCCGGTGATCAAGATTCGCTCTTGAGACCTCATAACAGAGACTTGGTGGGTAAAACCGTTGAAGCAAATCTCCCGGTGTAAGCAAAGAAAACTGTACAGAACCCAGTGATAGGATGATGAGGCTGCACTCAAAAGTATCATACTGAAGTATAACTCATCAATCTTTTCTATAAAAGAAGAGAAGTATTTGAGTTATACATATATGGTGTCAAGACTACTTTAAGCACTTGTAATCGTTCCCCTCACCATGCTAAAGTATTACAATAACAGTTTTGCCATCTGATTTGTTGATATTATCATAAATTTACCAAATAATTGAAGGAATATTGATAGACCGAAGATTGGCTTGGATTCAAAATGCATCTTTGAAGCGTATTAACATCAATAGTACTACAAGTCTTAAACCTAAGCCATAGCCGAAAAAACCCTAAATTGAGCTGATATGTACATAGCTGTTCGATCTCACAAAATTTAAGTCAACTTAGAAGGACAAGAGTAGTGCCATACTACGATATCTACGTAAAAGATGGACCAACCGATTTTTGCTTGTTGCCTTGTCGGATTGACAAGACAATAAGAGAGTTTTTTTCGGTTGGAAAATTTTGCCAATTCATTCACAACACAGATTGAGCCCACCACATATCTTCAAACACTACCACAATTCTTCATTCACAAACACACCTCTCATGCTCTCTTCTTCACATTCTTCTTTTCTGCACAGTCAGAGAATTCTATGTTAGTTGCAAGAAAAATCTAAGGGTTCATGTACCAAAAAACCGACATAAAACATTCAACAGCCAAGCTAAGAAATGTAGATTATCTATTAGAAATCTTAAGGATGATTGATTACTCACTGCTTGTCTTCTTAGTGTTCTTGCAGAACTCGCTACCACATCGACAATGAAATGGAGTCGTTGGAAACACATTATCATTAAACTCAACACCATAATCCTGCAGGTTAAGTCCAAAACTTTTATATCACAATCAACCAACACCTGAAACATGGAACTGAAAAAAATTCTTAAAAAAACCCAATCTGCTAAGAACGGGCGCAGAAACTTCTAACACACCCAGGTAAGTTCCTCCATAGCGTTGATTTCTCTTGTTGTGAAGAAAGCAACCTGGATTAAACACAGAAAATATTGTTCTCCACAAAATAAAATGAAATTTTGATGAGCAAGGATTAGATATAAAACCAGATTTTTGAGTCATACATGATATACGTCCGTGGACTCCACATGAACTGGGATCTCAATTAAATTTGCATCTAGGCATCTGCACACAAAGAAATGATACGGTTAGACTGACATAATGAAGAAAGAGGAAAACCAAATGAGTTTCACAAGCAGGCTAGTCGTTTGCAAGTTTATACAATGACAAAAACCAAAGGACTCAAACTCATTCTCAGACATTGTACTCATAAAGACTTTACCTGTGATTGATGAACCTAGAAATATTTCCATAATGTGTCCCGTCAAGACAAAGAGCTTTGTCATCCCCTGAAAGTTCTTCAGAACCCCAGTGCGCATCCAAAATTACCGGAGAAGTAAGCTTCTCAGAGTTTCGTTCGAACAACTCCGTGATGGTTAATATCTCTCCAGCAAACTCACAGACAAATGCTCCTTTAGGCAGTCTTTCTAGAGTCCTGAGTCCCCAACCTCTCCCATTAGATGTGAAAAACACCTGATTCACAAAAATGAAAGTGGTTTGTCTAGATTCGTCTGATATGCATGAACAAAATTCAGGTATCAAAGACTGTCAATCATTTTAATCCAAGTCAGAACAATCATAACCAGTTTCACTCATATATCAGAACTGAGATGAGTTAAGATGATAAAAGAGAAGACAACTTAGCCAAAAAATCGGTAAGGTGAATGGTAAAACCTGCAGCTTGTTGTGGATGCCCTGTTGGACAACTCGGTTGCCACATCTCTTAGTGCAGCCACACTTGCTCCAACATTCTTTAATAACCTTCCTCTTCAGATGCCCTTTGCACGGTTCCAGAATCTCTTCTTTTTTGGCTTTTTCTAGAGGACATTCTTTGCAATACTGCACAACATGTTTCTGAAGATCACGAGCTTCAGAGATGCACTCTTCCAAAAAGTCTTCCTGTAGGAGGCCACCTACTGTGTAAGCTAACCCATTACACGCAGTTGCACAACTGCATGCCATTGATGGAGTCAAGCAATCACCAAAGCAAGAGGAGCCGCATTGTTCATCACTGATCTTCTTAAGTGAGAATTTCACTGCAGCTTCAAAATACACAAGGCTTCGCGCTATGTACTGAAAAAATGGAGGAAATTTGTCGTTGAACTCATTCACCCATGGAATTTCAACAGCTTCTTCTCCTAGGGTGATGTCATTGATGCTGCTTAATACTCTCCACTCATCCGCAGAGACTTGGCACTCGGGAACAACAACCAAACCCATGGAGTCACCAACTGGACTGTTTTCAACTGAACCAGGCATTTGAACATTACTGCCATGAGAAGTAAAAGCCCTACTCGCAGCAGATTTCTTCAGCGCTTCAATGTTCGTTGTGAGGAAGGGCAAGTTTTCTGGTGACTGGTTGGCTGAATTTTTCGGCTTTGTTGCCAGGTCCAGGTAGCAGCTACAGAAGTCGTTCAGAAACCCAAACACAGAGAAGTTTGGGTCCAATATTTTATATGTGCGCAGACACTTTTCCTCCATTGCTCTTCTAACTTCATCCATGGAAGGTATATGGAGACTTGATCCTCCTGGCGCAGGAGCAAAACTCAGGTTTATCTTCACCTCACCAGAAGCTGTAGAGGCTAATTCAAGTGCTGAAGCTTCTTCTGGAGTTGCAGCCAGCTTGTTGTCACTAAATGTCTCAACAGTAGTACGAGGAACGCCTCTGGGACTACCATTAACAGTGCCTACTGCTATACCATTCCCTTCTTTCACATGTCCATTTGTTTTCTCCAAGTTAGGCATGGGAAGTGAAGAGTTCCCTCTATCTGATGAATCTAGAGAGAGACACCAAGAGAAAACAACCAAGAGTCATATAAGTTCTGAAGTATATAGCTTAAACACTTCATCATCACAAGAAAATACTCATTAATGAAAAAAAATACCTGGATGAGTAGAACTAGAAGGCAAATCAGTAGAGGGTTCGTGTTTTGGAATAGTAAGCGCAGCATCATCAGGGTCACTTTCAGTTGATAGAGGATGAAATGGCAATAAGATCAAGGCAGTTTCTTCGTCATAAGGTTCCTTAAAACTGGGACTCCCACAGTTAGGACTTGTAAATGTCGAAGCAGAGCCTCCTTCACCTCTGCGTCGCAGCCTCTTCAAAGGTCGTTCAGACTCAGCCAAGGCATCTTCTTCTTCCTCGGCAGACTGAAAAATACATGACAGAAACTGAATAACTGCAAGAACATGAAAAAACATTACTCTAGCACACACAAAAAAGAACTTAAGTTACATACTTCGGGAGCCTTCTTCTTTCCCCTGTCTACTTCTTCACCCTGAAAGACTCGATCACATACACTATTGCCTTCAACTTCTTCAGCCTTCTTTTTCTTTTCCTCAGTCTCTTGACTTGCTTTCATCTGGTGATAACAAAGCAGAGTCAGAAACAAGGGAATGAAACTTGCATTGAAATCACTTGAGAGATAAAAAAAAAAAAAAGTGAATCAATGAGACAAGAAAAGATACCTCAGTATCTTGTTCCTCAAAGATAGCATCAGCGAGAGCCCTATAATTGTCCTCTGCAATCAACTCCCAATTCTTATCGTAAAGGGCAAGCAGTTTTTTCAAGACCGGCTTAATTTGCGCATCCTGTATCCCAAGCGCCTTCATAGCAATAAATGCTTTTTTGACATGTGCATTTGGAGCCATAGCTTCTGTTCCTGCAACCAAAAAGATTTGATTTTTCAAATNATCAGATTCATCAAAACTGGAAAGACAAATTAGAACTTGTCATTTGCCTCATATATCAAATGCAAAACGAAAACCCATGATTTACGAAGACAGAAATGTAATCAAAGCTCAAAACTTTAACAAAATGAAGCGAAAAATGAAGAAAAGCCGCAAAAGACAGTCTTCCTTTGCAAATCGAAATTATACAAACCCACGAAACCAGACATGTACCCAGCAGTAGAGATAAACAGCGAATAGCAGAAAAACCCAGAAATTGGACAGATTTCTTCAGAGGAACATACCAATGTCACTCGTTAGCAAGAGCCACAAACGCACAAAGAAACCCTAAAGAAACGTTCTTTTTTTCCTCCTCACTATCGTTTTGGACTCTTGAATGGAAAAATGAGCCGAAATAGCTTTGTTTTTTAATAAAAACGAAAATATGATGGACTACATTTTTGCCCTTAATGAAATCTGATATTTACTGGATCCAAACCAAGCTCAAATCGGGTCACCCACCCATATCAGAATTAAACCCAAACCCATTCTCTATTTTTTTTGTAATCAATTCGTTTCAAGTATGGTTTGGCTTTTTTGTATTCAGGGGTTCTTGGTTCGGTTTTAATCCCTTGTAATGATCAAGTGCTAGTTTTTCTTCATGATATTTAAAGCCAATTGACTGTAATCTTTTAGAAACTGTGTTACATTATTTGTCACAAAAAGTATATAAAAAATGCAAACTTGTCGTCTCAAAGTTTCTTTCTTTTTTTATCTTAAGCTTGAAGCAAAATCCGGAGAAAAGTATACTCCTTTAATTTCATGGTTTCATACAACAAAACCAGCTCTTGTTTCTAAAAATCCCTTTAAAAAAAATTCTGTCTTTAAACCCTCAACGACAAAAATTAAAAACGGCAACTTTTTTTTTATATTTTGTTCGTAGTACACAAAAATAAAAACGCAAACTTTATGCAGAAACTACTCGAAATCACTATTAGCAAAAACAAAATTTCGTAA